CTGAGAAGCCAGGACCCTAGAAATTCAAGTTCCCAGTATTTGCAGCCTTCTGTTTCGCTGGCTGCTGAAAAGAGAAAGATAAGCAAGCTGGCAAGAAACTAGCAGTTTGGAAAGTCTGACTGAAGAGAGTGATTTATTCCAAAACTTTAAGGCTTTCTCCTAGAATTGCTTCAAAATTGGGTCAATAACTGAAGAGATACTGGGAGTGTTTCAGAATCAACACACATTTTCTGATAAAAACACATCAGTTCAGAATTCTTGAATCAGTTCTCAGTAGTTTAATTGTCCCAGAGTGCCATAGTCAAATACAGCTATTTTTGAAGGCAGCAGAAAATTGCCATAGCCTCGTAAGCACATACTTTGCCTATGCCAATGCTATGGAAAACTGGACTAATGCCACTGAGGGCAAGATCAGGGTATAGCGGGGTGGTGGTGATTGATTGCGGGAACTGAAAAGAAACAGCAACAGTGTTATCTCAAGGGCTCTCGCCTTAGCTCTCTTTTTTAGCTTGCTCAGTCCCTTCCCAGGTATGACTAGCAGCATCCATTTTGGCTACATTGCTGGCAAACCCTAAATCAGTGCAGGTGTCTGTATTAATACCACGGGATAACATCTGTAAGGATCTTCACGCAGACAAATTCAATCTCCAACTCAAAAGACTATGAGATATACTTACCAAAGGAATAGTCAGAAATAGGTGGGTTTTTTTTCTATGTATTTGTGTGTGCAGTCTAAAATACATTTTCAGAATACTGTATTTAAAAAATATTAATGCAGCCATAGTAAACTGCATAACTGATAACCCAATAGTTACCTGCATCTCATCTAGTTTGGACTGAATGTCTGGAGGGAAATCTCCTGCTCCGCAGCTAAAAGGGTCAAAAGGTTCTGCTCCAAAAAGGTCTCTCTCTGGAACAACAGAAAAGTGAGTCACTGAGAGAAAATGTACAGACTATGAAAACAGCTCTTTGAAAAACTCAGCTTACACCTCCTTACAAACTGAACAACAGCATCTCCAGATACGCAACTGATTAACCACAATTTTTAACGTCCAAATTTGAAAGCCATGTCTTGATTAGTTTTCCAAAGTTTAAAACTCAAATATTTTTTCCAAGAACACCACTGACTTCTGTTTAAGCCTCTATTTAGCTTTCATTAGTGCTTGTGTCCTCTGGAGGAATTTTAGGGATCTGATGAGAAGCTCCAATTTGAACAGGGAATCTCCTACTGAAGTGCGCTCTGGAATCGGTGTGTATAGGCATTTCACAAATGAGGAGGGAACAGCTGGACATCAGTTGTCAAACTTAATCTTAACATTATGTCAGAAACATATTCTTGCAAAAAACCTAGCCTTCATGTCCCCTGTCTGCCACTTCTTACCATCTGGTTAAGGACATCTTTAAACAACTACCTTTACTTATGGAAGGTAAGGCCTACGCTTAATAGAATTTGTTTCTTTTTTGTCTGGATAAGAAGAAACACCTCCAATACTTTTTTTTTTTCTTACTAGAACAGTGTAATGCCAGTTCTTCACATCTTACAGCCCAAATATTCTGCGTGGGGGTTTTTTTGCTTTTTTTTTTTTTCTTCTCAGTAATGGGATTCTTTTCCTCTCTACATGTAATGGTGCCATCCATACAGACCTTTTCTATTTCACATTGGGTTGAACTAAACCAGCAAGAAAATAATTTTTCTAACCCAATCCAACCATACTGATTGCAAAATTTACAGAACCAAGTCAATATAGTCTTGTCATTGGTGGAGAGAAAATTAAAACTATATTCTATCTCCTAGCTTCCATAGTTGTCCAGCAAGCAACCTGGTAAGCATACTACCTACCTTAAAACAATGTTAACTTAAGAGCATGAGAGTAAAAGGTGCTGTTATTATCTTTGAAATTAGTAGATAGTTTTCTATGTAAGCACAAAATTTTATCCTTAACATCCAAGATCTGGAAACTGACAACTAATCGTTTAGGTGTTATGAAGCTGCACAAATAGGCATTTTAAATCATTAGCAACTACCAGCATTCATTCCCATAATAAAGCACAGAAACAAGCAGGAACTCAATTTATTACAAATTTAAAAAACTGTGGCTAAAAAGCTACAAACCATCACATGGGACGAGGATATGGCCCAGATTGGACAGCCTTATTCCAAAAGCTCACTTGAGCCAAAAAAACCCCCAAACCAAAAAACCCTAGTCTTTCCTGGCAGAGACAGACCACCTGCATACGAAAGAGACTGCAGCTAGGATAATCTAATGTAAAAATTTGGGTCTGCTCCAGTATAATTGGTGTCCTTACATGCTCTGATGCTCCTACCACGTAACCTTCAGATGTGTAGCAGCTTTGACATTCAATCTAACCTCTACTAGGCAGAAAGTGATTATGCTTTATGCTCCTCGTAAGTCTATTTGTTCAATTATGTAGGTCTGTTTTCTTTCTTCCCACCCGCCCTCCCCCCCCCACAGTTTTCTGTGTGGTCAGACAGCTAAAAGCAGCCAGTTTCAACACCAAACCGTAGCAAACATTCAAGGAATGTATTTAGGAAAAAAATAGTAAAGAACACAACCCTTGCATTTCTTAGCACTGAAATATGACTTATCACTCTTTCGGAAAGCAAGTATTTTGTACACTATTACAGCTATTATCTCATTCATGCCTTATTATTGGGAGAATGGCAGAAGCTTTAGCTCCTTTAATGTCACCTGCCTTCAGGTGAAGGATTACTTAATTTATATTGTTATTCAAGGTAGTCTTTAAAATTAACCTGAGTGTAACTTATTCTAAGTGATGGAGCCTAATAAACCCTGGACAGAATCAAATTCAAGAGATGTATTTCCTACCTGAGTTTCTATGAAAAAGTATTGTTTTGGGAACTATCTCTGTAACTTGCTAACCATCTCAGTAAACTGGCTGAAAAAAGTCCATAGCACAACTGGGTTATTTTTTTTTTTGCTTTTAAAGTCTGTGTGTTATTTGAGAGATTGCACTGCTAAGAGTCAGGGAGGGATAAAGTTCCATTAAAAATTATCATAGTATCAGCAGTATTTCTCTTTTGAACCGAAGCTGAAGAACACATGGAAACTGGACAAATACTAAAATTTAGTCACTGCAGAGCTGCACTATTGCATGGGATCTCCATAAGCTTATCTGCTAGTGTTCACTCCACTGTTCACAGAGGGGCTCCTTTTCAGCAGAGATGAGAAAAATCCATAATTTTTCATTTCAGGCCAAAGTATTTGTATGAAGATTAACAATAACAAGGATATCTTGCCTGGCACACTTTGCAAAATAATTGTACCATAGGCAGGCATTTCTTTCTCCAATACACAGCAACTAGTAAGCCTTTGAAAACAATCCTTTCGAAAAGCACATATAATTTCCTTTCCCTTTCCCATTCATTTCTGGATGGAAATAAATTCACAGCTTGGGAAATCAACCAACAAATTCAAACCCATGAAATCCTGATGTTTTATATCCGCAATTCAAACCACAAAAAACATGAACAGGTAATAAATTCTTGTTTCTGTGACCTACCTGACATTCAGGACAAGAAACATGTAATACCAGAGAGTAGCAACCTGCACTCTGTAATAAACTCAAACCTAGCAATTACCAAACAAAACCACAAATATTTGGCTTTTCTGCTGCATTCTGCATCCCAATCTTCTTTACCTTAGCTATCATCCAGGCACAGAGTTATGCTGATATATATTTCCCCAGATGTCCTGGAGCAGCTGTGATGACAAATAAAAATTAATCACACTGAAGACAAGCACCCAAGAAAATATTTGGAATAAACTGAGGTAGTGAAGTCCAGGAAGCCTTTCCCTTAGCTGCAGGCTACTCCATATTTTTTTCTTTTGGAATTGTTACAGCAGTAAAATTGGTTCCACTATTATTCTGACAACAGACTCTTAAATATCTCTGGAAAGACAGCATCTTGGAGGAGATTTCTACATCTGCCAATTGTGACCTTGGACTGTTCCAAGATGCATTTGGGTGAAACAAATGTTGAACAATTCAAACCGAGAACGTTCCTCTCCAGTTCTTTTCCATTCCTCCAGTTCTGTTGTCTTTTCTATGACAATAATGTTATTGCAACAAGAAACACATAAATTAATTCCTCCTTTAATTAAGATTAATTAATTATTTCCATCCTTTAAGATAATTTACAAGAACATTTGCAATCACTTACTCCAGGAAAAAGCAGCAGCAAGGTCTTTAACATCGCGGTTTTGGTTGCGATTTTTGCGCTGGTCAATTGTTCAATGAAGCTATTACTATACTGGGCTGCAATGTTTATGTTTAGCCTGCAAGCTGCGTACTGCAAACTTAGTGTTAAAAGATGTATTTGTCAGCAACCTTTTGAGTAGAAACACAATTTTGGAAAGGCCTTTTGTTTCTGGAAGAAACACTGTTTTGCTATTATTACGTAAAGAGACATGACATAGTTGTCCAATCTGCAACTCCCTGTCCAAAAATCATACAATTTTCTCCTTTAGAATAGGTAAACCCAATCTATTTTCTATCACTGATATACCCATTAGTGAGCAGACATTTACTGAGAAGCCATATTGGTACAATGCTGAATAACAACTCAAAATAACATGAAACTTCTCCCTCTTTTAAAGCTTAAATGCTTTGGAGATAAACCCCTTTCTGAGAAAAGGTCAGTGCTGCACTCTTCTAGTATTAGAACTCTGGGTTTCTTGAACTAAGGACTGTGAGCTAGTCAAAGGAGAAGGTGTAATTTATAACCCCCCAATTTTTCCTAGGGAAACTACTCAAAGGAGACCTGGCAAGCAAAATTCTAAGTCCAGGCATTTTTCTTTATGAAAAGCTGAACTGTCATCCTGGTGCCAATTATCAACTATGAAGCTCTTGGAGGAATCCAAAGTGCTTGGTATTGTTACCAGTCTCCTGCAAATAGGACAGGTCTTTCCTGTGCAGCATTATTGTTGATTTATCTCAGTGCTATTCTCTGATCTGTCAAACTGGCCAGCTGATGAGTAAGATGAACTTTGGCTTTGAAAAGCTCATTTTGCTTGAGTAGACCAAGTGCCATCCCTAGGTAACAGTCAAATGAATCTCACCTAAATGAATGGAGCAACTTGAGGTTGACACTAGCAAATAGATGGTGCATCCTTATCTTTCACCCTGTTTACTACTGAATGTGATAAAGGTGAAAATTCTAAAAATTATATAATCAAGAAAATCACCCTATAATTTCATCAAAAGTGATGTAGAAAACCACTCAAATCCAGTGACAAAGTAGAGATAAGAACACGAAAAGATGTTTAGAAGACCTCAGAAATGGGAGACTCCAAACTTTGGCTCCTCTTGGTTGCCACCTATCTGACTTGTATCGGAGAAAGAAATGCCAACTTGCTTGTACCGGCAGCAATAACACCATATAAAACAACGTATTATTGTACATTATTATAGTAATGTAATGTTACACAGCTTGAATGAGATTCTTATGGGAACTGAACTTTCTCATCTAAGACAGTACTTGTTTGATGATTAAGTATTCCTCTTGTTTCAAATTGCATTTTTGAAATACGCCAAAGGGTGTTAATAGCTGATGAATGCAACAATTTTCAACATATAAAGTACTATGACATAGACTGAAAGAGCAGGGATCAAAAGTATGAAGACTATGATGAACTTTGCAATCTCTCTCTGAAGCACGGCATGCTGAGGAGCACAAAGAATTAACAGACACTGACTGCCACATCTCTGAACTGCATCATCTTAATTTAATGCAAATTATTGAAGTGCAGAAGAAACAACTATTTTAAACAGTACATGTTACTCAATAAGCAACTTATTTATAGTATTTTCTACATTACAAAACCCACTGATTAAACAATTACAAAACCTACATAGCTGGAATTCTCAAGACCACTCAGCACTGAGCGCTGACTCGCACAAGATTTCTAGCCACAATTTCAAAGGAACTTGAGGTAGGACAATGGCTAAAAAAAAAAAAAAAAAAAAAAATCTCATCCTGTAATTCAATTCAAGTTATTATTTCTTAAGCTGGATATGCACATTGAGAATGATTTTATGGCATTGTCTGTAGTTTCAAAGGAACAAATCTGAAAACACAAAAGAAGGTTTTGGAGAGGGTGTCTTTGAATTACTTTTTTGTTGTTCTTTACAAAGCCATACAAATTCTCTTAATAGAACAGTTCTATTCTGATAATCTATAATAATATTCTAAAATTCTTTTAAGATATTTCAGAATAGTTAATATTAACTATTCTTAATAGAATAGCTTTAAATTCTGTTAATATACTCTTTGAGAAACCCAGAGAAAATAATCTAAATTAATTTAAAATTTTATCTTAAAAAGAACAGACTTTTTTTTTTATTGAATCAATACCCTCGACATCTACTTTCTTGTTAGAGGGTGAGAGTCATTCTGAGCAACAGAAATGAAAGGTGTGTAGGATATGGTATTGGGGAAGACATTCACTGGCTTAAGTTTTACAATGCATTTTTATAATTGTGCAGCATGCTCATTCATACCTGAAAATTCTACATGCTAGCAGCATTCCCCAAAACAGGCAGACGCTCCTCAAATGTTTTTTATAAGGTGGCAGGCAGTAACATTAATGTTCCTTATCCATGCTAAAATAGGCATCAGAAATAGAAGATACTACGCACAGACTGGTATTTCTACAACCTCTAACATCGCTCGTGTATGCTCTGCTCTTCTCTCCCCCAAGGGATTTCCAAAGCTTTTAAAAATACTTTGTGGGCTCCGAAAAGATTTCCAGTGAAGCCGAGAACCTTACCCTACCTTCTTTCAAGCCTTTGGAAAATAAAAATGCTATTGTTAGTAATCTTTTAGGAGTGGTCCACACATCTGGAGGGGTTCATCAACTATAACTGAAAAATAAAACTGCAGATGATATGAAAAGTAGTGCTAAAAATAGTATTCCAAGACAGCCTACATCTTGAGGGATTTCTTCAGCTCTCCCTTCTGCATCATCATCACCATACTTACTCCACCTGCTGTCTTCCCCAGATATGTAGGCTTGAGATGCTACAACTGTGGCTTGACAAAGAAAGAGCTAACAGGAAATAAATATTTCTTGAAGTACAAAAGAGATACTGTAAAAGAAAAGCCAAGTTAAAACCCCCAACCAAACTCCTTCATACTGTTTATATAATAGCTTCAGCAAGTAAATAAATTTTTCTATAATGTAACTTGGCAGCAACATCAATGACTTTGGGAAGATGATATAAAAATGAATGGCATTATCGAACGTGATTTACAAAACCTGTATTTGGCTTTTCATGCATAATGTCCATAAATCTTTAAAGATGCTTTATTAAAAAATATAATGTAAGCAAAAATTAGGTCAGTTGTTACAGAACTTACTGATCTCTGTAGATCTACTGGGTACTGGAGGAGGCTGTGTACCATTGCGAGTAGGTGTTGTTGACTGAGGGGATATGGGAGAAAAGGGAACCATATCAAAGATGTCAGTGGAGGGTGATTTAGGTGTCACACTGCCTGCCTACAATAAGGACAATAAACATTAGGGCAATATTCCACATGAAAGATCACAATACTGAATTCTTCAGCATGCAGATAAGAGCCACATTTTCGAAAAAGTTAAAAATAACCATCAGCATGCAAAAACTAGCTCCTGACACCAAGCAAATGGCATTTGCAGTTCAGAGTCTGAGACATGCTAAAACTCTCCAACATATAAGCAGTGTTGTAATTTTTCCATTTTCAGTCCATCTGGGACAGCCAGAAATGTATCACAGTTAAACCTGAAAAAGCTGGTGACAAGCAGAGACGGATGAATACAGATACGTTCACAAGCCCCATTTAAGGTAATACTGCAACAACAATCTGCTACACTCCGGAGTGCACGATACAAGTAGCTATAATTAAAAGATACAATCCCAGTATTTCTTGTTTACTAAGTCTTCCTTACATGATAACTTGATTTGACAACCTAAAACACCTGGTGTGACCAAAGCTTCAAATGTATTTTTTGGTAAATAACAACCTAGACACGCAATACACTGAATATTAATATCCAAAATAAAACTCTTATCCTTGAACGTGTAACAGAAGAGATTTCATTAGTAAGGCCCAGGAATTTGGAAGGTTTCAGAAAAATACTGGATAAGCAAAGAAACCCCAAGCCCGACAATTACTAACGTTCTACAGCCATATTTATTTTTAATGACTAATTCCTCCTGCCATCTGTCCATTACTTCAGTACACAAACGAGGCACAGTCATATCAGAATAAACTGAACACTAAAGACAGCTGATGAAATAGATTAAAACTGAGATTGACAAGCCAATGGCAAAATTTATATGCAAAACTAGTTTGCATGTTAATGTTATTACTTAGACAATACAAAAAGCCCTACAGTCTATTACAGGGTATTAGAAAGACCATAGAGCCAGGCATAGCGAAAGCCTGCTACTTTTAAAATAAGGTTCAATTTGGCCAAACTATTTGCATGAAAATTTTAAAGCACAAGTTAGTCACACAGATCCTTTTATTCAGAATACATGAATACGACAACCTGGCACCCTTTAGCACTGCAGGTCCATGAAAATTTCATGGACCTAAACCGTATTTTGGAATGCTCCTTTCTTTAGTGCCTCTGCTGCAGCAACTGAAGCTGCCCTCTCACAGCATGGATTTCTAAGCCAAGTCTAGAGGCAGCTCTGAACTCCCTCTGCTCCTCTCTGGAGGCTGCAGTGGCTTCTGAGAAGGAAAGGACATTGATCCATGGTCTTCCACTGAATAGACTGCTTAAAGAGACAGCTAGACCCTGAAGTCCTCTATTTCCCATTTCTTAAGAGTTTTGAATTCATTTTTTAAATTTGGATTAGGGGAGATCTCAAACTGTTTGATATCTCAAAAAACCCTGCGATATTTCTACCTAAGTATACTGAAGTGCCAAGAAAAAAAAAGAAAAGCCACATTTAACATGCTATTCATGTTACTCCCTGGCAAGATCAGAGCTGAATTAACTTCACAAAATAACTAATTTTTAAGATTTTTACACATACAGAAGTCTTACTGACCCCAACATGAGTTAGCACAGCATATTCAAAGACAGTCTGCTGTAAAAAGATTTAAGTGCATACTTTAGACACCATGGGCTGTTATTACTATGTTCATGGACCTTGCACTAACCTCTTGGAGCTTTCGTGCGTGGTCGGAGAACCACTACAGTTTGAGTCAGGGAGATCACTGGATGCGTCTGCTCCCACTCAAAGCAGAGCAATGGATATGCTTGACCCAAAGTAAATGTACAGTGAATCTCCTATTACATTCTTCATACAAACAAAACTCTCTTGTAGATAGGCTTTGTCTGCGTCAGGAAGGTGGGATCAGGTTTAATGCATAGGTACATGCCATATATTAACCCACATTTCCCATCAATGTTGATGATAACCCTAGAATGTCTTGGGGAAAGTATTTGCTAAGTGTTCATGGCTATCTAGAAGCTAGATAAACAAACAAACAGTATTTATGTTTAGTCTTAAATGAGTCTTTCAGGCAAAAAAAAAAAGCAAACCCAAACTTCATTTCCTGTCTATATGCCATTTTGTTGAAGTTACTGTCCATTTTGACACTACTGATACAGCTAATTTAAATAAAACTATAATTTAGTTGTTTTAAGAAATATGTATTTTGAATACATATGAGCACAAGAAGCATTTTTCTTTAGTGAACACATGCAGAAAGCCATGATGTTTGCCAAATACAGCCAAATGTTACTTGCAAATGGAAGAAAAGTTGAGATTATAAGCATATTGCTATGAAAAAGCCAGCAATATGCCCATTTCATATTTAAGAATAATTTTCAACCTTCATTTTGCACAGTTTTCATTAAGTATTCTAAAAGGTATTTAATGGCTGATTGCTTTTCTATTAACTCATGGGGGAGGAAAAAGCCCTTGAAGTTGGACCTTTAGAATTGTTTGTTTTCAATTACTATTCTTAATGTAAAGCATTTTAACACAGAGGTAATTCATTCATGGACTAATTTCAACATGTTGGGAAAATAAGAATTTATGGTTTGGGGGGATGGGAAGAAAAAGCTATGTAGAAATAAGAGTAAATCTTCACAAATTCTGTATTTTAAGAGTGTCCCTATAGATTCTAAGATCCCCCTGCTCTGGCCTTTAACCACTGTACAAAATGCACATTTTTAATACAAGTTAATACACAACAGAGAACAAAGGAAAGCCAAAAAAACTGAAAAAGCTTTTGCACGACAGGATTACACGAGGTCTTGGGCAGCTGTATTCACTGGTTGGCTTTGGAAGACCACTTTTTGAAGGTGGTGGTATTAACAATCCAGATGGTAGTCTGGAGTCAGGAGAACTCCTAGGAGTAAGCGTAATGGAAGAGATATCTAAACAAGGAGGTGAATCCTCATTGTTACACCACAAAAAAGTAGAGGGTCTTTGAAACATATGTTCATCATTATCACACTTTATGTGCAGCAGCTGAAAAGGAATCACAGAAAGAGAAAAAAATTCTGAGGAACAGAACGTGGTAACATCAGGAAAAGAAGAAAAAAAACACATTTCATACTTCAAAAAAGTTTGTCATGAACTTGCTGTTCAGTGCTATAGTTTACAAGATACAGAACTTGAAAATATTTTAAAACAAAATCTAAAAATATACCACAGTAAGAGGTAGCCCAGTATTAACTGGAATGAAGATGACTTGCTCCTTGATAATTACACCAAACAAAATGAAGACAGGCATCTTTCCAAAGATGGGTGTATCAGATGCACTGGCAAATGTCTAAATCCACCAACATGTTAGCACTTTCTCATCTTTGCAGAGGTAAATTAGCAGGTAAGCACATATCTGGGGAGCAGAGTTACTCTGGTGGTTAAAGCACAGGTCAGAATTGTCTTTCTCCAAACCAGGAAACACCCACCAATATTAAAGAAAATCTAATTATTTAACTAAAAACTTAACAGCAGAAGCTCACGGTGCACAAATGTTAATGTTTACATTAATACTAGACTATGTTTCCTTTCCTCATCTATAGAATTTGAGAACCTAAACATTTATGGACAATAATACCCTTCTGCCATCATTTCTGTGTGGATGAAAAACTAATTGAATTCCTTATTATCAGTAGTTATCTCAAAAGCTGAGACTTGTTGCAAAGCAAAGGAAGCCTCACATCCCTACAACAGCAGCACAGGATGCAGGATGGAATAAAACTTTGCTGCTGGGGAAATAAAAATGTTGAGGACTGTAAGATTCTCTGGACCTCTTAAGAAATCCACAGAACAGCTCTGAACAGAGGCAAATGAGTAATATCCACACCAGAATACATACAGTAAGAGCATTCACCTACGATGACAAAGTGCTAACTGCAAGGTTCTGTTCTGAATTAGGCAGACGAGAACCTGAAGCTAGCTACCTCATATGACAGGGCAGTATTTAACTGTATAGGCCAGCAAGATTCATTGTGTATTGAGAGTGAGGCTGAGGGCTTTGTCCACTTTGACAAAAACCCTTAATTTTTTTTTGTCTGAATGGGAAATAACTGTAATCCTGAAAAGTTTCAGAAGAAATGGATCTTTAGGTGAAATTAGAAACAAAGAGCCTTTAGGACTGATCCTGGAAAGAAAAGCAAAAAGGAAGTGTCTTTAAATATTTGATTTAAGAAACACACCCAACCAATCTTTCTGCTGGGGCCAAGTTGTAATTCCTACCTCAAAATCTGAGGAAAACAGCTTGGGACAGTTAAAACAAGGCTTTAGAGGACAGATTAATCTTTGAATCCTAACAGAAGGGATTGAACATTTGTGCAGACAGTTCTTGGCTAGAGTCTAGAGTTTATACAGGCAGGAAATGGATCTGTGCTGTAGGTATCTTGCCTAAAAACCCCTCTGACTTGCCCAGACTGAAGCAGTGGTAGACACATGCAGCAAACATTTTGAAGTCTGCTTTTACTGTCTTCATACAGTGTTACACAATCAATATGGCATGATGATTTCATTAAAGTTTGCATCACTCCAGTAAAGCAGGATTTAATCAATGATTTTAAACCTTTTTTTTCAAGAATTATGCAGAAAACAAAACATTTCAAATCCTTTTGAGTCTTAGTTCCTTTCTTCACTTTCTTTACAGATAAGCCAGACTAAGGGTACAGGTATCCAAATTTAGTAACAATGCCATACTTATGAGAATACCAACAAACACCACAAAACTCTCTAGTCAAGATCTGCAATTCGTAAGGAAAAAAAAAAAGTTTTTATCACAATTGCAAACAATTCATCTGTTGCCAAGCTGGAATTGTGAAACAGTGGTTTTGGAATGGTAATGAAGAAAAATAAAGCAAAAAACTGCAAGACATAGAATTTTGATTATTATTTCAAGAGCATCACTACACTACAGGCAGAAGACTTGCAATGCTACTATGTAATTACTACCATGTAATACTTGCTGCTATACATACATATGGAAAAAAATAGAACTCATAATAGTAAACACTGGAAGATACTAAATACAAACAGTCAAATTAAGGAAGCAAAGCATTTCCCTGAAATGGAAAACAGCAGAGGATGAGTAGTTTCCATAAGAAAGCATGTACATCACATGAAAAATCATACAGAAACCAACAAATGCATATAGGACTCAAAACAGAAAAACTATAAGGATGATGAACACATATCAAATCCGGGCAATGAGAAGTTTCAATACAAAACCAAAATATACACTATTTGTATTATTTGAGCCCTGAATATTGAGCAGTCACATTTCCCCCTATTTATCTGATAAGTGATAGCCTTAGGGCATTTTACACAGTATAGGGTGTGGAGCTTCATGTGACAGTTTTGGGAATGTGTCTTGTCAATAATGAATTTTCTCTAGTAATTCTTCATTTGCGGGGCCTTGGGACCTGTGTTGTGAGTGCTGTTTTGCATGTTGCATCCCATGACCATGATTCAAAAAATGCAGAAGGAGGGAATAGACCCTTACTCCAAAGAACACAACGTAAAAAGGGTATAACTTCTGAAACTTAATACTCTTACACCAAATTGTAAAGGAAGAAAATGTATTAAAAATATATTAAATTGCCATTTTATATGGCAATTATATTTTATCTGACCTTCTCACTGTGAAACGCTGAACACATGGTGTTGGGCAGGCTGGCATATTACCTTCCAATTTGGGACTCATTTCATCAACACAAGAAAACAACATGAAATCATTCCTAATGAAATTAACATATTGGCTCAGTGGACTTGGTCTCTGTTATGATTAGATGTTATTATGTGCTTGTCAAAGGATTTATTTTGACTCATTCTACTTTGCATGATCCTGAAGATGCACTGTTTGCCTGCATCATACTAGAAAAAGTAGCATGACTGCATTTTCTTTAATCATGAAATCATTTTAAAATTGTTTATTTTTACTTGGTGTCTCAAGACATTGATTGCAATCTGTGTCATACCCCCATAGGAATCATGCAAGTGTATTAGTGACTTAGAAAATGTTTTTCTTCCTAAAGAACATTCAAGTTGGTAATATGCAGACCAGCCATAGCGGATAACTGCAGTGAATGTTATGGGAAACTGTGAGTGACCTTGAATCAGAAATTAAGCACTTCGTTACAAAACCAGTGATTACAAGCTACCTGGGATTTGGGGCTACTAAAGATAAGTTAATTGACTAATTCACAAAATACCGTATAAGCATTAGCGGTTTCATTAATTAACTGCTACATCTTCGGTTCATTTAGTGTTTTTTCAGTAACATGAAATCTGACATAGGCAATTTCAAGTTTATTTTTTTTAACATAATAAACATAATAGAATTTTAAACCCTCATGAAGAAGTGCTCACTGAACTCAATACAGAATATTATAAAATTGAAAGAGCAGAAGACAGGTGAAGAAAAAACATCTGCATTTTCCTACTTGGCAGTCTTATGGAAACATGAATCAAGTGATATGCCTAAACGCATTCCAAAACTGTTTTCTGAAATATGCATACAGTTCCAATGTCTATCTTGGGGTTTTCTCATGAGCATGTTAAAGCTTTTAATGAGGGTAATAGGTGCAGGTGGCCTATGCTTCTAAGTCACTACTTAAAGAACTTTAAAAAAAGGTCTAATCAATCAGTATCTTTAATGCCCCACTTAAAAATGGAGGGTTTTGGCAACACTGCCATGATAAGAATACATATTACATACTACATCTTTGACAATACTTGTGAATGGAAGAACACCATTCCTTTGGGGGCTGCTTCTCCCAATCCCTTTTCCTGCTGCCTTTCATATAATCATTAGGTTGGAAAAGACCTTTAAGATCATCAAGTCCAACCACAAACCTACTGCCAAGTCCCACTAAACCATGTCCCCAGGCGCCATATCTATGTGTCTTTTAAATGCCCCCAGGGATGGGGACTCAACCACTTCCCTGGGCAGCCCATTCCAGTGCCTGATAATCCTTTCAGTGAAGAAATTTTTCTTAATGTCCAATCTAAACCTGCCCTGGCGCAACTTGAGGCCATTTCCTCCTGTCCTATCACTTGTTACTTGGGAGAAGAGACCAACACCCACCTCATTACAGCCTCCTTTCAGGCAGGTGTAGAGGGTGATAAGGTCTCCCCTCAGGCTCCTCTTCTCCAGGCTGAACAAGCCCAGTTCCCTCAGCTGCTCCTCATAGCAGGACTTGTGCTCCAGATCCCTCACCAGCTTTGTTGCGCTTCTGGCACTAGAAAACCTTTCTTAATTTCTGACCATACCTTAATCAAACGAATACACGGATGGTTTCCCAAACTCCATATTTATACCAAGGTTAAAAATAAAGTACCTGAAAATCCCAGACGGTTTACATGTCTCCACCAAAGGATGTTATGCTTATCATAGCCTTCTTCTCCTACAATATGTTTAAACACCTGTGCATATTGGAATGATGGAGTGTCACATTCATGAAATTCACATGGAATTAGTCTTTCGGTGAAGAGGCCAAGAGAAGCATTTATCCAGCAGTGCACCCCAAATCACAGGCCTCATTCACAAGCACGACCTTCATTTCACTTTGTTACATACAAAAGAACTAAACAGTGAACAGTGATTCCTGCAGTTAAATGTTGATACTATGGGTAAACGTTTTTAGGATTTTCCACGTTTTCAGGGTCTCTTTTGTGTTAGCTTTACATTTCCCTAACACAATGGCTTCTTTTGTCTAATTTTACTCTGGTTTTACTTATGAAAAATAAAAATAAATAGAAGAAAAGGGATGTAATTTTTAGACTTCCTGCAGTTTGGTATCAGGTTCCTCTGTTTAAAGGAGAACTTCATATTTGTCAAAATCCTTACAAAGAAAATGTAAAAGGGTAAGGGAAGAAGTATCAACTGAGTATTTAAAAAACAACAGTGTCAAGGGTCAGTGAAATAATACAAAAAGAATAAAATTTCAAATTTCTTAAAGTATTTTCTACCTACTTCATTTCATTAAAAATTAATGCAAAGACTAATGTGTCTAGAATAATTAAAGACACCAAAATCAATCAACTGCAGAAGGAAGAAGCAGACTGGCACTGCATACAAATGGTTTTTCAGTTACTGAAAAGCGGGAAAGACATTCTGTCCTAGGTGAGTATTTTAACAAATAAAGCATGACAGTGACATCACTCAGTGTCTTCAAGAGCACTGTTTCACACTGCAAGTGCAATAAGTGCTTAAAAGTGCTTCAAGACCAGGTTGGACGGGGCTCTGAGCAAAATGATCTAGTTAGCGGTGTTCCTGCTCACTGCAGGGGGGGTTGGCTAGATGACCTCTAGGGGTCCCTTCCAACCCAAAACATTCTATGATTCTATGATTAAAAGCATAAGTCTTCCCTCGTGAGGAAGAAAAACACACGCCTGTTGTCAGCCTGAAATTATATCTGCTTAGACTGCATGGCTCACGGTCCCCCCTCCATAGGGATGGGGATTGAAGGAGAAGATGATGTAGAACATAGGGCAACTTCAGCGTTTATGTTTGTCATGGTCTGTGATCTGCCATCACAGGCCCTTGCAACATCTTCTGCTTCTTTAAGCATATACTTGTTTAATCACTTCTGAGGTGCTAAATCAATTGCTGATTACCAAGTGTTTCTGTGACTAGGCATTAATCACTAAAGGAAGAGCACAAGTCAACAACCTATAGGACAGGAAAGCCATTTCAGCACATCTGGCAAACGCTGAGAAAGTACAAACAGCGTGCAAACAACCAAACAGAAAAAGGAAAGCATAAGATAAGAAAACCCAAGGTACTATTTAAGCATAAACAGAAGGAACTTTATAACCACCTGTAGTTGGCTTGTGAAACTGAACATTTCTTTACAAATTACCATGATGCCAGGTGATTGCACGTGTACTTTTTATGAATTAGGTATCAAGTGTAAGGGCTTAAATTTTCCATTGATGAAAGATCCCTTCCTAGACCTCAGCACATGGAGTAACAGCAAACTGGACTGACAGACAAGGAGTTACAGCTGTATCAAATTAACTAAATATAAATAAATCAAATTACTTATTATGTCTAAAAAAAAGCTTCAGGAAGTATGGCACTGGCATCTCTTTATAATTCAATAACATGGATACGAGAGGTGTGAAAAAAATCTAAACTTCATAGTTTTATAAATCTGCTTTAAAATCAGGAGAATGACTGTGTTATGTTCATAGCATGTAACATGAAGAATATCTGCAGGGAAGCAAATTTTCCCCCATCTAACCAAAAGTGCTTAGGAAGTGACTCAGATGAGGTATTACTCCCCATAAAGAATATTCTGCTACATAAGCTATGTAAGCTATTTTATTTCCGTGTTTAACAAAATACTATCAGCGGACTTGAAAATGTTACTGGCAAAATGATCACAAGATGGAACTGCTATTTTTCTTTGCTAATGTTGAAGAAATAGAGCAGCAACAGCATAGATATTTTTAACAACATTGTACTTACAAGTTTTAAATTTAAATTCAGAAAAAATATCAATTCTAGTAACTTTTTAAAAAATAAACTGTTATTTTTTCATCACAGAAATTATGTAGAAATAGAAGAAAACATTCTTTGCAGCGCTTCTGCTTTTTCCTAATAGGAGCTGAAACTTTGCAAAGTAATGCTTGAAATGATAGTTGATTTGAATTAGAAGCATACAAAATTAATTGCAAACTATAAAAGGCAATCACCTTATGAATTCTTTATAATTTTCTTCTTTCATACATATTTGTTGCTCACATAGTAGAAGAAGAGTTATGTATCATCAAATCGTATCCACTGCTATTCCAGGAACTCATCAAACTATCTTAAAAATATTTATGCTTCCTGTTCCCTGCACTGAAAAGTCGCTTCATAACCTCGCTATTCCATTCCTTCATTTATTTTCTTGAACTTATATGTACCTACCCTTATGCTAGCACAATTAAGAGCTTTGATTTACAAGGTACACAACCTAGTTTATGAAACAGGCCTACTTGAATGATGTCTCTTGGTAAGGTACAAAAGTTGATGGTGTTTGGTGGATACTTATATTCCTAAATTTGAGAAAGACATTTTCCTAAAAATGTTCCTTTTTTATTATTGGCTGCATAACTGATCAAAGAATCACATAAGCAGAAAGTAGCTTAATACAACTTCCTGCTTGAAGCAGGGTCCGATTAGCTGAAGCTGCTGAGGATCACGTCCAGGGAAGTTTTTAATACCTCCAGAAGTACACATACCTCCAACCTCCCTGGGCAACCTGTTCCAATACTTACTTAAATCATTTATGTAAGGCTATTTTGCGGCAGAATCAAATTAGATATTAATAGGCTATTAGATGACTCTTACTGCAATTCTAATCATGAGGAAACTCAGAAATTTGTGACAAGAAATGCTTGTGCAGGTTACTTTAAAGATTAAGGAGTAAGTAAAGCCATAAAATTGTATGTGACTAATAATATCTGTAGTGAATTATTAAAATTAATTTTCATATTAATAATTACAAATAATTATATAATTTTGTTGTTGCATAAGTGATATTTAAGCAATATGCATATTCAGGTACCAATAGTAATTAACCACAAGACACCATCTAGGGAGAGAATGCAACTGGCTGGCAAATTTACAAATTCAGTTTTTAACTCATTAATAAGGAATTAGACACCACCATCTTCAAAAGACAAAATAAATAAAAACTTGCACTACACATGCTACAGGAAATATTTTGGATACTTTTTTTTCCTAAATGCAATTACCAAGTTCTTCACTAATTTAAATGAAAAAGAATACATCTATCACAAAAGACAAAGAGCCTGTTTAGTTTAATTCAGAGATACATTTAGTTACTATAGCCATAAATAAAAACAAATTAGCTGCCACCCTAATTAAGGAAAGTAAAAGATTAAGGAATTGACTAAATTAACTTTAAATCTAGCATTAAAGTTGATTACCTTCCACTGAATGCTTCATAAGTGAGAAGACATCCATAATTTACAATTTTCACTGTGGGATTTATACAGTATTTATAATTTATGGTGCTCTCTCCTCTAAATAGATTTCAGTAAAATTAAATGACGGTCCCTCATGGGAGCAACCATCTAATCAATGCCAAGGGAGTGTACAGACACTACCGAAAAATTGTCATCACCATTATAAAAACACTTTTACATTGCCCGTATTTCTAAACATCCATTTGAAGTGAAATGGTGTGCATCCAGGGCAGGAACAAGGTGGCCCAAAATGCACAGCTTAAAAGGAGTCCATCTTTTTCTAAGATTTTGCTATATGTACATTGAGAAATTTTATTTATTTTCACAGTTCCCTAATGTTTTATAGATAGAATATGCTTATAAGAAGAGGCGAGTCATTAGGATCAGTGTGCAATGCAACCTGCATTTTTAGACGTCCTGCCTGGACATAAGTAACTGTCAGTCAATCATTTTAAAATACTTTTGTCATGATCATCTATGGGAACTGCAGAAAGCGTTAGAAATTTCCAATGATGAGGAACCTGCACTTGCTTCTTTTTACCTACCCACCCAATGTTATCTCCTGAGACCCTAAAAGAAGGTTCTAACTCCTTTGAAAGACAAAATTTTTTAAAAGTCCTTTAGAAAATGTCAGTTGTAAGTGACAATATACTTGTGACAGAAAGTTCCCAGAAAAATCCAAAGTAGCATTCATGAAGCTGATTGTTTAAGTGCCAAACACAGTTCTTCATCCTTACATGTCTACCAGAAGGCATATTTACTGTCTTTAGGCAGCAACAAATAGGTATGACAAGAGCATTGAAGAACCACAATTTGACAGACTGCAATTCGCACTTTTGTTGGCTTGTCATAATCTTACTGTTACTTCATTTCAACAGATATGGTACATGATCACTGTATGTTAATCATAATCACTGGAAACAGCATAGATGCTAATAATTATCATAACACAGATGATTATAAGTTTAGAGTAACTTCAGATATAAGAGCTATATTCATGTACTTACTGGAGAGGCATGTACTTGTGTTATTCTTAACTGGTTTTCCAAATCTTGAACTTTATTTTTCAGTTCTGTGTTTTCAGTTTCTAATTCTTGAATCTATAAAGCAAGTGGTTATTGCAACAGCTATTGGGATATTCATTCATTTCAACAACAGCATCCACTGAGAATAAATTTTATCTGAGATCTGGTGATTGAGAAGCAATTTTTAACTAGTTATCTGATTACAAAAAACAACCAAACTTAAATTTCTGTACTTTTCATATTTCAATCTTGCTGTTCTCTTAATGACCTTGCAAGATGGCAAAAAATAAAATCCTGTTTCATAGTTATGTCTTTTTTCAGTATCTGTTGCAATTCTTAGCAATCTAAGCATAATGCTGGAAATTATGCTGTCATAGAAATGAGATAACAGAAACACAGTAGCATATTCTTTTATCTCTTTAAAAAATATAGTTCAGAACTTACTCTTTTCTGTAAACCTGCAATTTGCTTCCTTGTTTCAACATCTTTTCCTCCAGATTCCAGAAATTTCCTGTAAGCTAAGTCAAATGCTTGACCAATTGTTAAAGTTATCTCTTCCGCCTTTACATAAAACATAAGACTGAAATTAATATATTAAGAATATTTGATATAATTATTTTCATTTCAGATGATCACAACAGTACACCACGTATCATGTTCAAAGGGTTTGCTTCATCCATCAGGAGGTCAACACTACAAAGGAGTATGGCAAACACACTTCAGCAAAATACCTGGACAGAAAATACTATGTGTGCGGTAAAAATACTTCAGATAAAGAAGGGAGACTGAACAGGCAGAACACAATTAGCTAATTTAGTATAAATTATGCCTCTAATTTCTGTAAATACAGATAGCATGCTGCAGTATGTCTTTTTCTGATGATTTCTGAAGCAAATATAGGCTTTTCTACCATTAAATAAATCATTTTAATGGATGTTTTCATGATAATGGATGTTTTGATCTCTATTGTTTTTAAGTTTATTTTCACCACTTATTTTTAGAAGTCCTATAAAATCTTGATCAGCATAATGTAGATAAATATATTTGCCTGCACAAGTATTTCTGATTACAAAACCCCAACCAAACAGAATTTGCATTTTTATGCACAAAATATAATAATTTACTAGTTGCATGCTGATTCGCAACATATGCTATGATGTATACAATCTGTACAGAAAATCTAGCTTAAAAGTAACAGAGGCAAAAATAAGCATACAAGAAGTCGACTGAGCACACGAAGACTTCAGAAAAAAATGCAGATGTACCAATAAAAGGTGAACACATGGATATGCCATTTGCCTTAGAACTTTAGTAGAGAAAACATAGAGAGATTAGACAGAGTAGAGATTTTAGAAAAGAAACACAGTAATACCTTTTTAAAAAACCCCAAAAAACCAAAAACCAAAACACCAACAATTTGCCAGAGGAACAACAACAAAAAAACCCACCCAGAAACAAAACATTGATCTGGCTAAAGCTAAACTAGAATTTTCTCTTAATAATTGAAATGAAAACCTGAAATTGGTTGTTTCTCATGAAAGCAGAGCATTCTGTTCAATGCCAAGAACATTTTTCCTTCACTACCCGTAAGAACACGAAGGGCTGGATGCACAAAAATGGTACAGAACATGATGCTCCCAGCCTTTTATCCATCAGTGCAACAGTAAAGTCATTCAGTAGAGGTGCATGAAAACCTCTACTGGAGGTTCTACAGGAATAGGGAATTAACCCCTCTATCTTTGTACTGTGAAAAAACCCATACGGCCACCTTTATTAAGAAAAGTCACAAGAAATTATTTTAACCAAATTAGACTGAATTAGACCAAAAAAGCTGAACTAGGACTGCTTTACAGAATAGCTGTTTATGTTAGCAAAAGAAAGTTGAAAGGGACATCCTATCCTCTTGGAAGGATGAGGGTTGGCTGAAAGGAAAGGTGCCAACAAAGATGGGATCCTTTGAAATCTGAGAGTACTGATGAACAAAGAGTGAAATTGAGTAAAGTAGTAGAGCAAGTGGAATATCAGGGTAGAGAGAAGAAACGGTACATTGGTTTGGAATACAAATGCTGATAGTGTGCATAGACTGCAAGGGCAAATTAAAATCATGGGAATGATTGAGGAAGAGACAGAAGATAGACATTTGAAGATAAATGAATAGATGTCTACAGCAATACTGAACAATATCTACTGAAGGCATTGGAGCAATGCAGGTGAACGACAAAATCACCAGAAACACCGTGAAGTAACACACAATGCTATATAACTGCACATCAAAAAAAATGAATATGCATCTTTTTCTAAAAAATGTATTACTTCCTTAGTATTTCCTTTATATGGTATCTCAGCTACTTCACAATAAATCAAAAAGAGAGTCTCTACATTATAAAAAAACCTCTAAACATCCATTTTTGGTGTTGATTCCAGTGTTTTTTCCAGTGTTAATTAACTTTCTGCCAGGGTAAACTCATGACCCTGTTTCAGCTAGACACCATTTTCTTCATTTCCTGTCCTAAAGTATTGGGTTGTTTTTCTGCTATTGCACATTTTTGAACAGTTGCCCTGTTCTATCTCAGACATGAGAAAATGTCAGTGGTTGGTGCAATGAATTCTCTGGTAGTGCATCAGGTATTAACAAACTTGAGAGATGTGGCTGGGGGGGGGCAGGCAGAGAAAAGGAAAAAAAAAAATCTGAGGAAAAGAGGCTGAGGCATACACATCAGCAGAAGAGCCTGTGAGGGTATCTCAGCCACAGGGTTGCAGCAATCTCTGCAAAACAGCTGTGCAAACATTTCAAGCTTGGTGGGATGCAATCTGTTCTCTGTGAGCACTGCAGATTCCTGGCCTAGGATATCGAGCTGGGTAGTAAGAAGAATTGTCCCAGAAAACCGCCTCAGATCAATGAAGAAAAAGGCTCTCCTTTAAATTAATGCATTTACGATACAAGGCACTATACTGGCATGAAAGATTATATCAAAGTTACCCCAGTTAAAAGGCAGGCTATCTGCCTTTTTTAACCATCCCTGTTTTATTTCAAAGCACACCAATCAAAGTCCGTAACAGTCACCCAAATTCTTTTAAAGAGTCTTGCATACTTACACACTTTTCACTGTCAAATACATAGCACAGATGCTTATTGGATTCTGAATCTTTGCATATGAAAGTAAATATTCTCTTGTCAGTTTTATCATCAGCACAAAATGATATCCTATGGAGTTGACAGTTGTGCTGGACTTCCTGCAAATAAAAAGATTATTTTCAAGAAATCTCTATACTTGCTCAGGATAAAGATGCACAAAGTAAATCTCTGGATTTCCTCATGTGCCTAAGAGCAGGCAACTTGCAGTAACGTTTCTGAATGTGTCTCATTGTACATGAGAGTACCCCAAAATAGACTTAAAGTATTTAACAGAAGTTAGCAAACTCATCTCCTAACAAATGTTCCCATTTTTACTGAATGGTGTTTATCTGGAAGTGTTTATCTGAACAGTAATTTTGGTTCTAGAAAACTGGTTCTACTGTTGTATTGTGTCCCAGTGCAATTTATTTAGGGACTGATTATGTAAAATACTCTGTTCTTTTTCCAGATGCACACCATCTTCAGATTTCATCATCTCCCAGGGTTTGTTAAAATGGTTTTGCTGAAATAAATCCTTACCTTTCTATCTTAAATATAGAAAACAGAAATAAAGTGACTCTGTTATCCAAATACAGGGGCACAGAGAAATAGACATCTAAATAATGGCTTACTTAAGGTGCAACATAAACAGCTTTTAAACATTATTTGCGTATTTTTGATACTATACTTCACTTTCCATTAAAAAGCATGTTCCAGCTATTAAAAAAGTTGCAGTGGCAATGCTCTTCAGCTGAGAGAGCTTGACAAGACAGAAATAAACTATCCAACTATTTTTTTTTTGTTGTTTTTCTTCAACAATTCTCTTCTTGGTATTTTATTTTATTTGGCTTATTACATGGGAAAGCAGTATTTGCTTTAAAGGAAAATATGCAGTTTAGATGTGAGCTATTATCTATTAAAAAAGAAGAAAGTTTCTGTGCAGCACCAGGGTTCCCAGATTGCTATAAGCCCATAAACAAGGGCATGCCCTCTCTGCACACAAAAACGTATCAAAACCCCCTGTACTATATGGGCAATTTTTTCCCTCTGCCCTCACTGGGTTCCTTTTCTCAGACTTTACTGCCGTTCTTCTGTGTATGCTGTTTCTCCCATGTCCCCAAATCTCTCTCGCATTTAATCTCTTTCTGTTGTAGCTCTTTAACAGTTGCATATAATCACACATCTTTGTTCTGGCTCTTGTAGGTTTATAGATCCATAAAACTACTCTATATCATTTAAGGACAGAACCACTTTTCTATAATCCTCCTTTTTTGAGTGCCACATATAGAATGAAGTCTTGACACATGAGCAGGCCTCCTGTTCCTACCACAATTAACAGTCATCACATGAATATAAATCAATATTCCTCTGTAACAATACTAAAGTGACTTGTTTCAAAAACACAGAGAAAAAATTATTGTCATCAGCAATGATAACACAGAATTTAAGTAATTTCCTAAAGCATCAATACATTGTGCAAAAAGAAGGAAAACTTCATTCAAATTTACATTTACATGTAGCTTTAAGAAACAAAGGGGGGGAGATAAAGAGACTACTCATAGCCGATTCCCATTTGAGTTGTAATAATAACACTGCTAGGAGATAAGAATGTTCCTATTCCCCCAGGAACTTCCATCCCACAGCTTTCTGGTTAATCTCTGCAGGAAGAGTTAGGAAGACTAACATATTTTGGCATTTAACATTGTTATTTTAAAACAGTTTTTGCCAGAATATGGGGTTTAGTACCCCTTTCTGCCCTATGACACAAGGAAGATGCAAAAACAGTAATGAAAACTGACATGGATATTTCTTGCCCCCTCTGCTTATGAACTGTTGAATTGCGGTTGTATCAAGAGTCTGAAGCGAGAACAGGGTTCAAGAAGATATAGCCTTGAACTAAAGCTACCTTTTCTCAAAGGGCAGTATGACTGAGTGGTAGCAATTACTCCAGAATTAAGAAGCAGTTACAAACACTTAATTCAAATCCAACATTCAACATATGCACAAGAGATTTAAGAGCACTCAGACGTTAAGAATTCCTGACTATTGAATAAATACTTTTTAGCTTGATTATATTTACCTCATTATTCCTCTCTGAAGTCTATAAGGAGGATGTTTTGCTCACTATGTAACCCCTTCCAAACTACCAGAGCAAACAAAGGACCGGAAAACCCATCCACAGGATGACTCAGTGGACCTAACTGCTGAAAAAGCAGGAATTGTCATGCTGTGCCAGATGAAAAGCCTACAGTAGTGCTTATGGCCTGCTACACGGCGTTTACAGAGAAATGGGTAACACACTTGAGGAACATAAGCATTCTAGGGAGGGGGGGGAATACAATAAAAAAATAAATAAATTAAAAACTCAAGAAAAAGAGGAAAAAAAATGACAGGTTAAGGAAAAGAGGTGCAATTCCAAAGCAGCAGCATGAAGAATGAGTCACTGCAAACAAATTGTCTCCTCGTTCACCTGCAGACACCTACATGTGGGCACCTACACAATAGCGGCCGTTTGGAAAAGTTATTTATCCTATGCAGTGTTAACATTTATTTATCACAGCGTTTTCACCTTCCTCAGAGTTTAAAAGTTCTGGTGTGAAAGGACTAAAAAAAATTAAATACCACATTAGCTATGGTCTGTATTTTGTGGTATCATGTACCTTCCTGGGAAGATGTCACCCATGTGCTGTTAGAAGAAATGGTATTTTAAGGTAATTTTCCATCAACAGAATGGCTTTCATTGTAATATTTCTTTAAACTACAAAATAATAAAAACATTAAAAACAGTTAAAACAATATTTAATTACTAGTTTAGCACCATAAACACATTAAGTCTCTTACCTTTGTTTTTGGATCTAGAATTTTTACACCATAGATTGAAATTTGTAATTCAACTTTGGGTGTCTTAAGGCCTTCAGATTTCTTGATATGTCTTGCAAACTGTAAGATGGAAAATACCACAGCAATCACATTAATGATAAGGTTTCTTTATTTTTTTTATTACTTCTCATTTCCTCTCAACTCCTTCCACCTGAAGTAATTTCCTTCCTTCTTCAAAAGCTCTTATAAACAACGCCAACCATTCCCAAAGTCACAGTTGGGCACAGAACAGCATTTCTGACTGCACGCTATAGAATATTCCTATAATTCAAGAAAAAGTATTTTAAAATGACTTAGCTGGTTCTCTTGAAACTTTTATCTGCTGTTTAGGGACTTCATTTAAGCTTCTGCATGAGATTCCTAGGAGAACAGTAGAAAACTGAGCACTTTCAGACAGTTTGTCAACTGCTGGGCTGTTGAGCAGTGAACATCATCATGTTTTCCACATCCCACTGTTTCTACACTCGCTTCTGTATACACACACACTGCAGGTACTTCCCATATGTTCCTCTGAGGAAACCAGTTCTTTTAAACAGGTTCAGTGTGAAAGCACTACAGCTGTCACCACACTTAGAAATACTTGATCTCTTCTATCATATTCTTAGGATTTATTTGCTAACCGTTCCCTAGATGATGACTAGACAACATTTTATATGACTGGGTGAGGTAATGTGTCCTATTCAATACATTTTCCACCCTTTTATATCTGCTTTTCTAGACGTTAGATCTGACTTGTCTTCCTCTCACCAACACCACATGTAAAATAAGCAGAGGATCTAAAATTTGTTACTGGGTGGCAGTTAAGAAGTGTCATGCATTTGTGTAACCTTCGTAGAAAAGATCTGGAACTGCTCTATATTTTGCTCTGTTATCAGCCCTTTTCCCCTAAGGCTTTGACCGCCTGGAATCAAATTTCCAAATGCATGAATAAGGATGATGACTCACTGAAGGCCAGAGGAGCTGGGGTCTCTGCTTCACAACTATATCTTTAGGCACATCATCCTCAGACTTGCTCCCACTCAAGTACAATTGACCACATAATTCACCATGAGTACAAATAAACTATATAAAAATTCAATGAGGGCAAGGACTTGTAGTTGCATGAAGAGTTTAGGATGTCAACAAGGCTGCTAACCTACCTTAAGAAGGGCTAGAAGGGCAGACAGAAGCCTGAATTACCCTGTGATTGTGAAGTACTTGGCTGTACCCAACTGATACCTGCCCCACAAACACCTAAATCCCTGGTTCTAATTATTATTTATTTAAGTGATAGCTGAGGGTTTGGGTTTTTGCTCTGTCCCTATTCCCATGCCAACCAATACTTGGGAAATCTTTCCATGAACAAAACTGTTTTACACAGTATGACTGTCTCCATGTATTTGATTTCATTTATGCTTGTAGGCAGCTCCATTCATGGCAAATTATTAATTAGTTTTAAGAACCACCCTAAAAGCGCATAATTAACCTGCTTTTCTCTTCCTCCCAATTTTATTCCTCATTTTGAAAGCACACTTATTGCAAATTTTAATAACTAAAGATTAATTTATAATGAATCCTGTTAACTTCATACAGTAACATGACCTATCCAGTTTATTACTGATTAATGTTTAATATTAGCTGATAAGTATCACACGCTACACAAGTTAGTTAAAGAAAACCCCCAAACTCCCACCTAAACCACTCTATGCCATTCTCAAAATCAACTCTTAAATCTAAATACCCATTTTACACTTCAACAGCTAGGATTGCTACAGTCATTGGCCAAGTATTTTATGAAGGTTTGTACATGATGACTTACCTGTGAAAACCAGCTAGTCAAAAGTTAATTAAATCTAACATAACTTCTAGTGCTGCCTCTCTTCACTATCATGTATATAGCTCTTGGAATATACACATCTTTTTCTGTCCTCCTATTTATCTTCAAGCCCATTTCTCACACATTTGGAGTATACTTTTAACACAGTTTAATGACTACCCCCATCCCTTTATTTTAACTAAGGTGGGTTGTCTCGTACACATGTTTTTATTTTAAAAAAAGTATAAAAAAATAAAATAAAAAAACCCTAATAATTGGTTTATAGGCATTTTGGCCAACAACATTTCTTAACTTTCTAGGACAATTCAAGTTTGCTAAAGGAAAAAAATATTTTTTCTTTAATAAAAATCACTAACCAACTGCCCCCCCAAATGACTTAACTTTTATACTACCAATTTACCTGTTTGATTATGTCTCTGCTTTAAAAAATAGGAAAAGAATAGGCCAATCAATATTTCATTAGCACAGATTTTTTTTTCTATATTAATATAGAACTTAAATCGTCTTTCAGATCATTTTCATACATTTACCCAATACTCCCACTGTGTCAGTTTTCCTTTCTGATTTGTAATTCGATTATGTCCTTTTATTGGATAAAACTTGGAGGACATATGTGGTCCCTTTTCAGAGTAAAACAGGGCTCTGCACTTGGCTCACTTCACTACATGTTAAATGGAATGACCACAAAAAAACCCAACAATCACCTGGACAGTTTGGGTATCTCAATTTCCAATGTACTTTACAGTGCACAGAAACATACCCATGCGGCAGATAATCCCGGGGCACATCTTGATTTGGAACAGCCTTGAACTTGAATAAACCCTGGCTTTTTGGAAACTTTCTTTTATAAACAAGATGCAAACAACTATTTCTGTGCAGTAATGAAGAGGAGGCATAAATAATATTTGATTTTACTGAGTTAAAGCCAGAGGGTATGTTGAGAATGATGATGAAGTGCTTGGGTTTCCAACTGTAATCATCAGAGTCCCAAACAACAGCTACAACATGAAAAATTTTTAAAATAAGTAGATCTGAATGACTTGCATGAGTTTCAGAACAGCTGGCCAAAGCTTGCTCCAAGTAGTCAAGAAGTCTTACAACACTGAGGAAGTTCCAGAAGATAATTCTGTTCCAATACTAAAAAAAGGGTAAACAAAATGACCCTACCATGTCTCCACTCTCAAAAGGCATAAATCGAGTACCAAAAGCTACAGAATTGAAGTGAGATAAAATTAATTATAATCAATAAGGATTTTAAAAAAAATGCAGCTTGTCAAAACAGACAAAGCACTTGACTGAGTTTTGGATGCCATTATATTTAGGAAAAGAAGCAACACAAAGAAAGTATTAGTTAAGTTAGTTACATTAGTCTCCAGATGCAGTTATAAACAGGAAATTGTCATTGGGAAGATATGTTTCTAATGTATTCCAGCAGGGTTTATTTCTTAAGCGTGACATTATTGAACAATGACCAGGAGGAAAATAATTACTGATAAAATCTGCAGGCAGAAAAAATAAGAGGAAAAAATGGGAGGAAAAGTAACTAATGGTCTGAAACCTAAAATCACTACAGAGGAAGTCTGCAGATTGTGAAGGCTGATGGAGAGGCAAGTAACACAGAGAATACCTCGCCAACTTGACCACCACAGGCTGCCTGTATACGCACAAATCACCTCTACTGCAACACTGATTTTGCAAATCATACATATGGGAACAAACTTTCTTTCTTGTGAGACTACTCTGTGAAGATGGAATTAAGAAAGTCTTGATGTCATGGTAGGCTTTCCGCTAACCGTGGACTCTTCTCATGAAGCTACGACTGGGAAGATTAATGCAATCCTTGGATATTTCACAAAGACCCTTAAGACAACAACGGCTGCACCACATCAGCTGCTTATGAGAAACTACTCAAATTTTATGTTCTGAGGTTTTCAAATGCAGAAGGATGTTGACAAAATGGAGAAATATCACAGGATATTTGCAAAAGTTAGCAGAGGGCTGGAAACTCACTTTATGAGAAACTCCGTCAAATCAAAAAGAAGCTAATGGTGAAAGAAAACCACAGAAGAATCTCTTAAGCACAGGCATCCCGAGAGACAAACAAGCTTTTTAATCAAAGGTTTACTGAGATACAGTGAACACGTAGATAAATTCAGAGAATCTGGTGCAGTTTCTTAATGCTTTTCCCGCCCACTCCCTCTTCTGTGTAATAACAGATAACATACAGATACCCATCAGTGATTTCTTTCATATCTGATCTTTGCTAGAAAGCCAAGTTCAGCCACCTCCCAAACTTGTGCAGGGTTTGAACAGCAGATCCTAACACTTAGGTATCAGCCAATTTGCTTTTTTTGTTTTCTCTATTTTTTCTGCTCATTCCTTCTACCCAAAGAGGACCCTGAGGGACCTCTGGGCAGGGGAAGATTTACAAACAGCATTTTCTCCTTTCAGCCCACATTTGAAACAAAGTAATATTTGTAGTTCACGCAGTAACAAAATTATTTAAGAGGGTAAAAATCTGCAGCCTTCCATTGGCATCAGAATGGACAATGATATAAAATTGTAATGAATCCCAGCATGGCTTGGGAAGAGATACGGTGGGCCAAATTCTTAAGCTGTTAATTTATACATATATTGTTCTCAGGCAAGACACCCAGATTTGGCGCAATAATAATAGGAGCAGCTCAGTGGGATGGGCTAGCTTTTCTTTAACTACTTTGGAATCAATGTGTATTTTCCTTGAACCTTTTAGGGAAAGCAACAGATACCAATAAAACTGTTTTCTACGGTTTAATTTAGCTTTAAAAATAAAGAAGGAAAAACTCCCATATATCTTGTCTTTCATTACAGTAGCAGGGAAAATTGCAAATTCTGAGACTCTTATTAAAATTACATTTGAAATGCTTATGCATCAAGTCTTAGCAAACCGCAATCAGAGAATTAATCAGCAAAAATAACAAGAGGAAAAAAAATCACGTTTTAAAAACATCCAGGAGCTTTAGTTAAAAACAAATTCTATCAAAATCAATTTAAGCTATGCAAATCAAAACTAGGTGCTTTTATTTAATATTTACACCTCACTACGCAATTCAAGAGTTGATTAAAAAAACCTTGAAACATCAAAGGCAAACATTTCTATGATTTGGGTGCTAATCTTCAGCCCAGGGAATAGAAGTTCAACTCCTTCATTTTATGCAGGCTTTCAGCGAGACATCAGATGTCGCACTTCATATGGACACCTTAA